ATATATATATATATATATATATATATATATATATATATATATATATATATATATATATATATATGACGGTTTGGTTCGGGATTTTTCTTACTCAATACCAAACCAATCGAATTTTAATCGGTTTGATTTGACTTTTCAATTTGGTACAATTTTCCGATTCGGTTTAAACACCCCTATCTAAAAGATAATATAACAAGTAACCGTTCATAACAACGGGTTAAAGTACCTAATAGTGTTTAAAAAAAGTAACACGGCCAGTATATAAGTTAAATACTTAATCATGATCAGATACTGGGATATCACGGAGAAATCTACGGTTTGTGTCACTTATTCAGAAAGATGCTGAAAAGATAAGTTATATTTCAATACTCAAAAGATTCTCCTACCAACTGACTGATTAAGAGACCTCTTAGGAGGTGTTTGGTATGAAAGAACACTTTACGGAAAATGTTTTTCAATTTTCTTAGTTTGGTTGACTTAAATGTTTTGGAAAACATTTTCCTTATGAATTTATTTTCCTCCAATAACTCATTTTCCTTCAATTGGAGGAAAATATTTTCCCTATTAAGAGAAGGGAAAACATAGGGACTTGGGGGAGGGAGGGAGGGGGGGGGGGGTGGGCGGAGTGGAGGAGATTAGCATAAAAAAATATTTTCTACTCTCTAACCAAACACTAGAAAATATTTTCCAGAAAAAGATTTTCACTCACCAACCAAACAAGAAAAAATAAGTGATAAAATTACTCATTTTCTATAAAAACATTTTATACGAAAATATTTTTCATATATGGAGCTCCTACGTATAAACTTCCAGTATATTATGTTGGAACTCCAGCACATTATGAAATTCCAGCACAAAAATTCAAACTCCAACATATTATACCGTAATTTTTTCAAAATTTAAGGACATTTTTGTTCAGATTTTATTTTTACATGAAAAAGTGACTAAACTTCGACTACTTTTGAAAGTGGGGGCTATGTATTAAATTACCAGTTATAAAAGCAGGCTATTTCTGATTCTTTTTACTATAAATGTCACAGCAACTTCGTGTCACATTGCTAACACGATGTATTAGAGAAGATGGCCCGTAATAAAAGTAGCTCAAATTATAACGCTAAATTGTGAATCGTTTCTGTTATTCTTTTTGGAGAATAAAGCGACTGAGTTTCTTTGATAATTGGTTTGAATTTGTATCCAGTCTTTAGACAATATTCATCATCCATTTAGTAATGCTTTGAATGACATAAATTGAAATATAATACCTTTTAATAAACAAAAAGAAAAGAAACAAAAAACATATTTAACGCGCCAGGTAGGGGTCGAACCTACGACTTTCTGCTTAGGAAACAGACGCTCTATCCACTGAGCTACAGGCGCTGTGTTGCTTCAGGAATGTAAAGCAATTATATGACACGTACTAAAAAAACATTTATTGACAGCTCAACTTAAAACTTCTTCTTTTTCTTTTTTCGAAAAGCATTTTTGTACTCCACCCTACTAGTGGATTTCATTGGGTCGGTTCTTCTTCTTGTTGTATTTTAGATATACAATTTTTATTTGGCTATGATTTTATCAAACAATTTTAGATGTATTAAAATTAATAATTATTGAACTTATGTAATTTTCAGTCAAGTGAATCAATAAAATACTCCCTCCGTCGCATTTTGAACTTATGTAATTTAATAAGTATGAGATAAACCCCAAATTGAAGAAACTAAAACCCCAAACAAAGCCCTTTTTGCATCTGCTTTGTAGCCTCAACAGACATGGCGACTTTCACCGCCAGGTCCCTCCTCCGCTCTGCCACTACCTCCGGCCGAACAGCCGCCGTTAGACTTGCAGGTAGTTCCAAACCAAAGGCCTCTCCCTCCCCCATTCGTATCCCTTCACAGAAACCACTCACCGCTCGCATTTTCAGGTAATTATCCGAAAACATTGTTTTCAATTTTTGCATATATATATATATATATATA